TTATTTTATTATACTTGACCCAAGTCGACTTTAACATGATTCTTAAGCAAGTTTTTATCATGGTTGTATCTTACAAAATTAAACTATTTATTGATGTTTTATAACTCTAAGCTAAGCTTTATTATTACTATTATTTTATGGAGAAAATGTAATAAATTTCTCCAATTTTTCTAAATAAGCAAAAGGGAAATATTAAGTTTTGTATAAGAAGTAAATAATGTGAAACGGTTTAAACATTTTGGAATCACAATCAAAATAGCTAGACCGCAAGAAAGCAACTTTCCTTGGTTAACGGGAATATATGTTAAAATTCTAGTCACAGGAAATTTAAACGAAAAACAAAAATTACATATCCTTCATTTATTAAGAATCTCTCTTTATATTATTCTAACAAAAATACTTGGGACTATTGTAGTATTAAATTTTAACCGAAAACATTTAATATGAACATTTTATTTTATTATGTATCCAAATGATCAACTAGAACATATTATACTTTTGTGTGACTAAATAAAATATACTAAGAGATTATCGAAGTATTAAAAATAATTTAGAAAATGTATAGAAACTTAGTCAAAAGGCCGTAGGGACGTACTTAATATCAGAGGTTTGTCAATTTGGTTCAAAATTTCAGAACTCACAGGTTATGGCTAACTTGCTGGCATTGCATGTTTTAAGTGTGGTTGAAGTTTTAAGTGTCGTATGATGAGAAAGTGGCAATGTACCTCTAATTTGGGCATCATGCAGAGGAATCCTTCACGTGGTGTATTTTCATATTTTTTTTCGGGCGGAGGAAGGTAACAAACCCATATTAAAGCTTCAACTAAATTCATATAACGCATTGCAGAGTCTATTTGGTGGTACTCTCAATAAGATTTTTTCCTTATTAATTCAGGCTCACATTCGAAACATCTAATTAAGAATAAGGGTGTGTTTGGTATGAAGGAAAATGTTTTCTTGAAAAACAAGTAGATTTCTAACTTATTTGCTCATTTTAGTTAGTGGGTGGAAAATATTTTTTAATGATTGATTGATGAATGAAAAATAATTTTCAGATAGAATATAATTTCTGATCTGAAAATCAATTCCGATAATTGATATAGGACCCGACCCCGACACTCAAACTAGGACAAGACCCCAATGACCGTTCCAAAATTTGACTTGAGATTTGACCAAGGACCTGACCCGGGAATTTTTTTTTCAAAATCAATTTTTTAAAATTTTTTTTTTAAAAAAATTGACGGGGTCACGAGGGTTGGGGGTAGGGGTGGCATAAAAATGAAATTTTTAAAATTTTGAAATGTATTTCAAAAACATTTAAAAAAATAATAATAATTTGATGGGATGACGCGGAGGGGAGTAGTAGGGAGTAGGGGTGGGATTGGCGTAAAAAATTAAAAAAATTAAAAATTGAAATATTTCCTAAAAACAATGTTTTGTTAAAAAATTTTTTTGACGGGAATGGTCTTTGGGGGGGTGGGGGATTGGGGTAGGGTGACGTAAAAATGAAAAAAATTTAAGTATAATATATTTTTCAAACACGATTTTAAAAATAAAAATAAAAATTGATGGGGATGGCCTGGGTGGGGGGTAGGGGTGGGGGTGGCCTAAGGGGGGAGGGGTAGGGGTAGAGTGACGTAAAAAATGATTTATTTTAAATTTTAAATATTACGCAAAAATAATTTGTTTTTTTAAAATAAATTGACGGGGGTGGTGCGGGAGGGGAGTGGCTTGGGTTGGGGGGTAGGGAGTAGGGGTGGTAGGAGTTGGGTGAGGTAAAAAAAATCTTAAAATTTGAAACATTTTTTTATTTGTTTGTTAAGGGGGGGCTGGTTTGGTGGTAGGGATAAGTATATGGAGTATTTGAAATTTAAAAAATAAGAAAATTTAAAATTTTAATTTTTTTTTGAATGGAGAGGGTCGGGTACGGGATATGGGTAGGGTAAGAAAAAAATTGAATGATGAAGTAGAGTTTTGGGAAATGTTTTTCTTAATTTTGGAAGGAAAGTCATTTTCTTTAAATTGGAGGATAATGAGTTAATTTGGAAAACATTTTCCAATCATTTAAGCCAACCAAACATGAGAAAATTGGAAAACATAATGTTTTCCTCCATACCAAACACACCCTAAGTGTAGAGCAATTTAAAGCACTGTACAATAACTCATGTTGAAGTATTTCCTTTTGTTGAGTATCACCTTCCAATTTTATGTATATCTAATCTGGCATTTGTTTCTCTCTCACCAGTGGCGAAGCTACAGTGTCCTGAGGGTGTCCATTGTCCAATTGGACACTCTTCGCCGGAAAATTATACCATTAACCTCTTGAACACATCAAGATGCTCCGGCCTAGCAATGTGAGCCTCTCATGCTCACACTGTAGGCGTGGGTTCGAATCCCCTGCTGCATTTTATAATCATTTTTAATAGAACAATCCTAATTGAATTTTCAATGAATTTGACTTTTTATTTTTTTTCATTAAAATTTGAAATAAAACTTGAATGTAATTATTTAATTTAAAGTTAATAAACAAATTCTAAACTATTTCTATAAAGCTGCTAAAAGCGAACAAAAGAACATCTCGTTTGATTTTGCTTATTATTCCTGTCTCGTTATTGTTGTCATCACCATAGATTAGAGAATGTTTGAAACGTAAAAATAATTTCATTTTAAGCTTAACCCCCCCCCCCCCCCCCCCCCCCCCCTTCCTTTTTCTTTTTGCTTTGTTCATTCACTTTATATTAAATTAAACACAAAGATTAAAGCTAAATATTATGCAGTTTGATTTTTAAAATTTTAGAACATTTATTCGTAAAAAACGGTAATATTAATATTGCGTAGTTCAATTTTAATTCTTTCAATGCATCCATTCATCGAAAAAAAATATTTATAATATATTTGGACACCCTTCATAAATTTCTAGCTTCGCCAATATCTCTGACCAGCCTCCCATATTCACAATGTTAAAAGGTCCTTTAAAATATGAAAACGTCTAAGTAGCTTTGAAAGAGTTCAGTTTGTTTGTTCCATACTTTATGAGAAAATGAATTTCCTGCTATTTTACATGTTAGTCATTTCTTTGGAAAACAAAGCACATGAGCTGACGATTTCTTACCTAATGAATGAAAATAACATAAAAACACATGTGAACTTTTCTGCAAAGCAAAGATCACAATCTCCAAACAGTTGTAGTAATAATTATTGTTCAAAAGAATATCTAATAAAGATAGAATATATGTGGAAAATTTTCTTAATTATGATAAAAACATGTATATTTTGTATATTTTGGTAATGTAATTTGATTAATTTCAAATTATTACTCTTAAAATAATAAATTCATTAATTTGATGTATCTATTATCAATATATGATGTATCCAGCAAACTAAATACTTAGATACATGAGTGTACAAGTACATTCATATGTATCATAGAAATATCTAGCATTAATTTCATGTATTTGTTATACGTATCTAGTATTAATTTTATGTATCTATTTATATATATCTAATATTAATTTCATGTACCTTTTATATGTATCTAGTATTGATTTGATGTATCAAGTATCAATTGCATATGTTATGTCCAAAAACATGTATCTCGAATACATAATAATCATATACATTTAATTATGTGTATCTAAATATGAAATATAGCTGAAACACATGAATTTAAGAACAAATCACGACTGTAGAGTATCAGTTACAATATATTTTGTAGAAAGCTTTTTAAATCTTCTAGGAAAAGTACTTGAAAAATATAAAATCATGAATAAGATAATTTGTTTGTTCCAAATTTGTTAGAAAAAGAATCTCCTGCTATTTTAAAGGACAATTTATTTGGAAAACAAAGAACATAAAGGGAGTGTTTGGTATGACGGAAACATTTTCCAATTTTCCCATGTTTGGTTGGGTTAAATGATTTGGAAAATGTTTTCCAAATTAACCCATTTTCCTCAAATTTAAGGAAAATGACTTCCCTTCAAAATTAAGGAAAACATTTTCCAAAACTCTCTTCCAACTTCAAATTACAATTTTTTTTGTCCCTACCCTCAAACCCCCCCACCCCCCCACCCCAAAAAAATAAAAAATAAAAAAATTAAAGCTTGTTTTTTAAAAATATTTTTAACTTCAAACACTAAAAAATCTTTTCCGGAAAATATTTTCTACTCACCAACCAAACATGAGAAAATAAGTCAAAAATTTACTTGTTTTCCGAAAAAATATTTTCTAGGAAAACATTTTCCTTCCTGCCAAACACACCCGAAAGCACTATTTCTTATATTAATTAGGAAAAATCCTTTTGGCCAGAATGGTAAAATAACATATTTCACACTATGTCATTTTACCTTTTTGAACATTTTTACCCTTTTAACTTTAATACCTTTTAATTAAAAAATAAAAAAAGATCAACTTATTTTAAAATAAAAAAAATATTAACACACGCACTGAAAAAACAATATAACGACAAGTGTTCATTAGAGTCTAACATTGTTGCAGATTTTTTTTTTATTATTCATTCAAAAAAATTAATCGAGAGCACTTTTCTACCAAAAATGGTGCTTTTGCCACTCAATTAAAGGTCCATACATTACTTCAGTGACATAATATGAAGTTCATAAATAATACTATTTCTTACTCTGAGATTCAAATTTCTAAATTTTAATATTTTTGATAACTATGTAAAACGTACTAAATAATTTAAAACTTAAAATATTTAAAAGGCATATAAAAAAAATCTAGTAAAAAATAACTTGATTGATGCTCAAAATTTCATTTGTGCCACATAAATTGAGATAGTTGAAATATCAATCAACCCAAAATATTTTGAAGAAGGATTAATGCATCATATAAAACCATGTGGTAATATTCGTGTAGAAAAGAACATCTAATAAAGCTAAAAATTCAAAACAAACAACATGAAAATTCTTGAAGAATAATGAAAAAAGTTGTGTAACTAAAAACTCTCTAGTACAAGTTAAATTAGTGCACAAAGCTTTTCTTCTTTAGGAGTGAAGTGAATTATGAATAGTCAAAGCTTTGATCCTCTTTAATTGAAGTTGTTTGTCATCATGAGTAGTATTGGGCTCCTCAATATTAGTAATCCTTTTTCGCTTGAGAAACTTGACAAGACTTTCAAGGCAAACATGAGGATCTTCACTCTTCATAAATTGCTCAGCAACTTCTGCCGGACTGACTTGTGCCCCTTCAATCAATTCTTGTGCTTCTTTAAAATTGTTGTAAAGAGGATCGCTTATTTCCAGATAATTATTTGCCAACACTGTAAAGCTTTCACTGGTTAAGTAAGACATGTGAATATGCATGTCCATTCGTCCAGGTCGCAATAGAGCTGGATCGAGCTTCTCTTTGTTATTTGTGGTAAATATAACAATCCTTTCATCACCACAACTCGACCATAGCCCGTCTATGAAGTTTAATAAGCCACCAAGTGTAATCTGCACAAAATAAAAGTGAGACATTATGGATTGAATATATATATATATATATATATATATCAAGTTTGCTCGCTCAAAAATTTTATGGTGAAAAGGGGCACGTACCTCTTGATCCCGATCCCGTGAACGTCCATTGTAATTTGTGCGAGTTTCACTTCTTTCAGGCATGGTAACACTGCAGTCAATATCTTCAATGACAAGTATTGATCTATTCTTGGTGCTGAGTAAGAGCCTTCTCAAGTCAGCATCCCGCTTTATATTTGAGAATTCCAAATCATATATGTCGAATTTCAAATAATTAGCAATTGCAGCAATCAAACTTGATTTCCCAGTCCCTGGTGGTCCATACAATAAGTATCCCCTTTTCCAAGCTTTTCCAACTCTCCTGTAAAACTCCTTCCTCCTTAAAAACCTATCAAGGTCCTGTATTATGGTTTTTTTGAGTGCGGGTTCTAAAGCTAATGTCTCAAAAGTTGAAGGGTGCTCAAGGTTCACCGAATCCCAATTTATAGAACTGTAACAATTACTAGATAGAGAATGCAATTGAATAATTTTTTTCTCATCGCGCATGGTTTTGGCTGTGTTGAGTACAAAAGGGATGTAACAATTCAATATCCTGTCCTTGTGTTCTTTGCTAAAGCTGAGCTCAAAAGAACGTTTCTCAGAAAAATCACCTTCATTATCAGCTTGAAATCTCAAAATCGACTTTTGAGCTTCATTAACAAACTTCCAAACCAATTCAATCTCTTCAAAGGAATCAGTAATTTTCCCACAATTCCCAAATTTAACATTGACACCTGTGTCTTTGGGTCGTTTGGTAATTTTGAAACGTTGAAATTCGGGGCTGAATCGTGCAGACAAATAGATCTCAGCACAAGTGAAGACATCGTTGATGCCCATGCCATCTCTTTCTTCGATAACCAGAGTTACATTTGATGAATTTGGGCGAAAATAGCTACGGATTTTGGTTTCGATATACAACTGAACTTGCTGAGGGATGAGTTGATGGATCATTGTCTTAAACATTGTAATTGCAGTAGATACTGAGGCATACGCCTGGAACATTGTAGCCGCTGAAGGCAGACTTGAGAGACTCATCATATCTTTTATTTCAACAAACAAAATATTAAGCAGATAACTTTGCAACCCCTGCTGCTATTAATATACTAGTTGTAATTTTTTCTTTTAATTCCGATTCCTACAAAAATAAGGATTCAAAATCCCTTTACAAACTTGGTGTGGCTTTTGAGAAAAAAAAAAAAATCATAAATTTTGAAAAACAAGCCAAAAGACTAGTTTCCCAAACCAACTTAAATTAGAATTTAGATAATGCTAAAGGTCAAGTTGTAAATGGAAAGGACAGTAAAACTTACATGAAAAAAACGAAAAACTTTAATATAAGCAAAACTCAAAGGGTAAAAAAAAAAGGTACTCCCTCCGTCCCATTTTATTATGTGGCACCATTTCTTTTTTGGTCAGTTCCACAAAGAATGTCATATTTCCTTATATGGTAAGTATTTAAAGATACAATTTCTCTTTTACCTTTATTGGTCCCACTTAATCTTAAAATAATACTCCAATACATTTATGAGGATAGAGAAAAGTGAGTCTACTTTTTAAAAGGCAATTTCATAAATATTTCAAAGTCTTCATTTATTTCTTAAACTCCGTATCCGATCAAATGTTGCCCGATCAAATGGGACTGAGGGAGTAATAGACTGACAGGCCAACACTTGTCCTAGTGTCGTTGAATATATTTAATTGAAGTACTTTATAGTGTACTAGATCGACACTTGTCCTATTAAGTATATTGCATACACCATTGAAAAAGTTTTTTATTTTAATAGTGATGAATTAGTTAGAATATTAAAACTAAGAAAAATGCTCAAATATGTGATCAAACTATTGAAAAAGGTTCATTTATGAATTATATATATAATAAATGATAATCTATATTAGTGGAACTATAATTTACTTCAAAAGAATCATGAACTTTTAAAAAAGAAGTTTATATCTTTATATTGATAATTTGATTTGTATTTAAAATTTAAATATAATTTTTCTTTGTTTATTAATATATTAGTATATATCGATGTATATTTCCAACTTTCAAGAGCTATACTTAAATTTTTATTTTTTTAAAAAAATAATTCATTAAAAAGTATTCGACAATGATTACTACGAAAATAATAAGGGAAGAAAATAAAACATACTCGTTAGAAAGAAAGAATTAAAAAAACAACTGAATTTTCAACTTTCAATTCATCTCTCGACAGCTTAATTTTTATTATATACTTATTACTTTAATTGAGAACATGTAATATTAATTGGTAAAACTTATTGTAAAATAACGTATTCATTTATTATTACTGATTTATATTTAGCTTTAACCGCGAACAACTATAGTAATATAAGATAGAGGAATGAGAAAACATATTATTATAAAAATATAGAGAAAACAATTAACATCAAATAATCTATAGTACCTGCTAAAATAATTCAAGAAAGTTTATGAACATTAGAAGAAACTAAGAAAATAGTAACATACATTTAAAAAAATCGTATCAATCCATCAAAAATAACTCATTAATAACTTACCAAACAAAATAGGGGAAATTTACATCCACTTATAATTTCATTCACCTATTTTCAATTTGCAAAAAATCACCAACATATATCGCAAGTAACAATATAATATTATATAAATATTTCAAAAATAAAAGAAAATAAAAATAAGGAATTCAAAGAATTAATTACCTGACATAAAAAAAAAATGAAAAACAGGATTGATAAGAAAGTAATAGGTAGTTTTTTTTTAAGAGAATCTTTTTTCTACAGCTCTAAGTTTATATTGTTGTGATAGTTTGTAATGAATGTCTTAAAGTAAGTATTGATCATACGTAATAAAAGCTGAAAATTGGAACTTTTATGAGCAGCGTGGTGAGAATCAAAATGAAGATCCACTTAATTGAATTAATCAATTAATCATTGAGAACAAAAAGGAAATATCAAATTTATAAAAGTTTCAACTCTTTAAGGGGAAAAAATAAGCTTTGTAAATTTGATTCTTTATAAGTTTTTTTTGCGTGAATCTGAAAGTAAATTATTCGTTTCCATTTACAACTTGAAAAGTTCGGTGATCATAAAGGGATGAAAATGTGTGGTTAATTCATTTATTTGTCGTATGCAGTTTCGGAAAATAGAGAAAAGATTAAAAAAAATAAAAATGGAAAAGCATAAATAGTAATTGATAGAATGAAGACATACCTTTAAGGAAATAAAATAAGTGGCAATAATAGAAAGAGATACAATCATATACTAAATCCCAATAATTAATGAGGAAAGAAATATTTTCATAAGTTTTTAGTTAAAAAAAAAGAAAGGAAAGGAGATAAGTAGCGTTGCTTCCCAATGAGAAATGTCTCCTCACTTCATTTTATTATAACTCATATAGATATGTATGAGCTTAAAGTTTCTACTCCCTCCGTCCCTATTTACTTGTCCATATTTCCTCTTTTAGATGTCCCTATTTACTTGTCCATTTTGACAAATCAAGAGAGGACAGAAAAAAAATTCCTATTATACCCTCATTTAAACTTTTTGAAAATTTAAATTTCCCTCAACATTGATTAGTTATCTTGAATAAATTTATTTTGAAATCATAATTAATAAGGGCAAAATTGTAACTTCACTATGATAATCATTATTGCCTTAATATATGTGTCATTTCTAAAGTGGACAACTAAATAGGGACGGAGGGAGTATAAAAGGAACCTTAAGTGGTTCAAATGGCGACAAACAGAAATCCGAATGGTGATTTAAATAATGGCATCTAGGGCCAATACAATAGTATGACGGGAAAAATGAGGTTATACGACTACAATTTTTTTCCATCAAAGTGTAGAATTACACTGCTTAATGCTTTTATGAGGATAGTCGTTGGCCTTTCATAGTGCCTATTACTGTGATTTATTATGTATGTAGGTCGCAATCAAAGCCTAATTCCATGTCACCTATCTTTTCTACAAGTGTAATTTCAACATCACCAAGATGCAATATGCCAAAACTATGCCATCAGTAGAAAGGTTACTTTTACAAGAAAACCTCCATTTTATGGATAATATTTGACTCAAATTGGAAAAAAAAGGTATTAAAGTTAGAATAGTAGTAAATAAATTATATAAAAGTTAAAAAGTTATATTTAAATATTCCCTTGTGGTTGCATGACAAGTCTACGCTTAGCCAGCATTACTAATATTAAAGTGGATGAAATAGGGGAGAGAAAATGGAAAAGTAGATATTTGTGTGATTGAAAATCATTATAGGAAGGTGTCAATCTTTTATAAATGATTTAAAAAGGAAAAAATGACGCATAAAATAAGATGTGTTCTTAAAGGAAACTCCACCTAACGTGGCTAACCCGATACTTGCAAATACTGAAATAGTATTATGTAAGGCCAAACTATAGTTTTCTCAGTGCTGCTGAGGCAATAACTTTAGTTTAATCTGAAGAAAGGACATTAATAATTTACTCCATTTAAAAGAAAAAAGTAGTATCAAGTACAACTTTTTCTTCCAGCCAAGACAAGTGGACAGAAGAGAAAGATTGTCCCAACCAATCAGCCCCTAAAGCATGTGATTTACTCGATTGTGTCCTTCTACTCGTTTCAATACACTTGCAGAGATATCATCATTTTGAAAGAGACATTGGCCAAATGTCAGAAGCTACTGGTTTCATTCAGAACATTACATAATTTAAAGAAAGGAACATAAGCACAGTTTTGATTCGAAAGCTGTCCACTAAACGCACCAATTTGAACCAAAAGGTTTCCTTTTTGATCAAAGCTTAACAAATAGTACATAAAATCCACATTGGAAGAAAGCCCTACAGAGAGATTCTCAAGGACACTCCACAGTCTGGAGCTGACAATGAATCCCAATAACCCCTCTAAAGCCACTTACACCTCCTTTTTCAAACCAAATTAGTTTAACTCCCAATCTTATCATAATGTAAATTAATCTCATTACATTCATTCATAATCTGATAAGAAACACAAGAAATCAGTCTTTCCTCAGTTCCATTTCTTCTCTACGAATGCCATCAGCATTTAATACAACTATCTCCAGTTTGTCACCCTGCAATAAGAAAGCAAAACATTCAGAAATACAGGCTGATAGTGAAAGAATTTATTTCTCTATGATGCCCAGACTCGGGTGTGGATCTAAAGGTCCAATTCTTCATCACATAAATTTTAGGATTCAGAATTATGGATCCAAGTGCAGATACAGGTGGTGGATACAACCAATAAATGTATATTACGACATATAAAGTATATATTCAGATTAGTTGAAATTGCTGAACTAAACCTCGTAAAATTTTCATTGTTTATAAACACCAACATTTTATTCTTACCTCTGTAAAATAAAGGCATACAAGTGACAAACCCAAAAATCAAAAACAAATATCAATCAATCTATACTTCTCGATCATAGAATGAGATCAAAGTTCCCAAGGTAAGTTGATCAAATCTGTTGTGGATCCCGCACCCATGTCATGTCGACACGGGTGCGGCAGGGATTTGGAAGAGTCCGTGCAAAAGTATATCATAAGAGAAAAAGGGGAAGGAAATTGGAAATTTTCTGGCGCTTGATAAACCGAAGTCCAAGAAGCCAAAGAGTTTGAATTCTAAAACAGATCGCCTAAAAGATATCATACAAATGACTTACGGTGTATATATCCCTTTCTGTTGCTGAAGCAAAGCATGTCTTAACTAAATCAATGGCTTCTGATTCAGAAAGTGGAGTAACAGCATCCTGCAGAGGTCATGGGAACTCCGTTAGCAAATGGCTATATTTTTCTCCTCATTTTTAGGTCAATTTCAAATGCTTCGACTATATGAGAAAATTTGAACAGATAAAATATGGAGCAAACCACAGCAGGCAGCAACAGAGGGCTAGGAGACTTCAGTTGGTTGTCCAAGAAAGGCATGATCAGAGTTGAACCAGAACCTTGAGAGCTGTAGCCAACCCTCTCATATGATCCCACAGCATCATAGGTGAAGACACACCCCTTCCCTACAAATTTTATGGATTAAATTGTT